ATCTTCCCCCCCACCTGACGGGACTGTACACTATCATGGGCGTACATATAACCATCCATAGTGTCGACTAATGCACGCCCACGGTAGAGGCGCTTTACCTCCAGGGTTTTCGAATCCAGAACAATCACCCTACGATCCATTGTTACAATAAGGATACTTTGAATTTGATTCGCCCAGTGCACACCAACAACCCAACAGTCCCCTGCAAAGACAATTCCACGGCTTGTCAGAGTCTCCAGGTCCCATGCCCGTACAGTGCCTTCGGACCCACCGGTCAATAGGAGTTTACGCCGTGTGTCCGCCTCCATGCAAGTTCCCGTTATATGCTGCGAGTGCGAAAAGCAATAGCTCGGTTCAGGTGTTGTGGATAACTCTGAAATCGGTCCATTAGCAAGATGGGAGCGGTGACGACTTTGGGAGACTAAAAACGTTGAGAAATCATCCCAAGTTGTGCACCCCTTCGCTTCGTAGTCAACCTTTCTCATAAGATCTATAATTTCCGCATCCGTGGCGCTGGGGATAACAACTTTAATCGCCTGTGCAAACTCCTGTTCGGATAAAACACGTGTGTACGCATCGTGCCCGGAACCCTGTTTCAGCCCGTCAGATGAAAAGAGTGCACGCTGAAGCTCTTCCTTTGTTTGTACCGGCTGATAAGTACCAGCAGGTGGTCCAATAAATACACCCGAGGAATGTTCCTGAGGGCGCTCTTCACACAAATTTTCCCTTTCCTCAACTTGGGGATGCCGTTCAGTATTCTCCATCTTCTTGCCTTCCTCCGACAGTCTACTCAAGGAAGAGCAGTTCCTCACCATAAAATTCTTTCCCGTGATTTTCCTGCTGAAAGGACGACGATTGGCGTCTGCTTTTGGACCTAACATGCCGTTCTCAAAAGAGTCCGCATCCGCTGAGAAAAAACACATAAGACGCCGTAATTCATCCAGGGAAAACCTTTCTTCCAGAGGCTGAGTCCAGCCTCCCTGCTGCACCGTACTGGCATCATCGTCCACGGCCTCTGTGGCGTTGGGGTCATCATCATCACCATCGTAATCCCCTTGGGGGTACTCCACACTCGATGTCGGTTTTCGCAGAGTTTGAAGAAACGCTTCTTCATCCTTTGGATACATCAGCGGCAGGAGACGCCTGTCTTTGCGACCAAAATTCTGTTTGGAGACAGACGTTCCCCTACTTCCAACAAACCGCATGCCAAATAAAGACCGTTGCGGCCCGTTCCCGCTGCACAGCGTGTTTTCTGGTGACTGCACATAGCTGCTGCTCGATGGCAGAGAATCCGGCAACAAACCATTCATTTCACGCGGCCTCCCACCACCAAAACGTTTGACGTACGCGGATGGGCCACGCTCCTCACCCTGCCCATCTTGGTCTAAGAATATATTTTGCGTTCCAGTGTTCATAAGTTTAATATCAATTAATTTGCAATATTAAAATATAAACGCATATACACCCGGCACAGTATCTTTGACTATGACTTGGGAAATCACTCCTCTATTCCTTCCTTTATATCTTCCTTACGTCTTCTTATTCGTACCGTCTTCTCCTTGTTTCTCGCACACACAAACAAAGTACACCACGCCCTAATTTCCCCTGACAAAAAAAAAAATAAAATAAATAAATAAATAAATAAGAAAAGAGAAGAAACAATTCATTTCTCTTCCATGCAACCCTTTGAGGGGTTAAGTTACAAGCATTTATACATTCACACCAATTGAGAGTCCCAGATGACACTTTGTCTTTCCAGTTTTCATTAACAACAACAACAACAACAACAACAACAACAAAAAGGAAACAAGAATTGTTGAGAGCCGTCAACGTGTTTTTTTTTTTTTTTTTGAAGGCACTGAGTAATATATATAGTTTGGAAAAGAAAGAAATAGAGGTCCCGCAAATGCAATTACAGGTCATCTGAGGCCATATGAATCTGCACCAGGACCTTGAGGGCCAAAACAAAGTTGGCAAACTCGTTGTCGCACGCCGCATGATCCTCTTCTGTAAGGGTAGTAAGACTATTAAATGCGTTCGGCATCATGCTTAAAAGCATACACAGCTCGCGAAGACAAATTAGACTGTCAACAGCCACCGAGGAGTGAGTGCTAAAACTATGAGTCGCTGGCTGCGATTGATGTTGAGAAACCTGGGTGCACGGACGCCGGGATGAAAGTGCGATGGCATGACCCACAAGTGAAGTGTTGACCACGGTGTTTTTCAGCACATTCGCCACCACTTCCAGTTTTTCCTCACACTCCGATGGATTCGCCTTTGCCGGGTTGCCGGTGGAGCCGACTTCGTCCCCTGCAAACTCCGCGGTGGTGGTGTTGGTGGTGGCCCTTCTTTCGCCACGGCTACCTCTTTGGCTGTTGCACGCGTATTTCGATTCCGCCACCTCTGAAAAGCCCTCCACCTCGGGAGAGGGCAACTCCTGAGACAAGGTACTAATTTCTACACCCTGTGTATTTTGCAAACGGTAACCCAAGTTTGAGAGTTGCATGTACACACGGCCATAAAAAAGCTCTAAAGCTTCCTCTATTTCCCCCGACTTCGAAATCGTTGTAGCCATACGAAACAAGCACCTCATGATAGAAGGAAACTCCTGAAGAAAAGCTCGTGTAAAGGCGCCATTGGCAGAGAAACGAAGGCGGTTTGGAGCGGCGGCCTGCGCGCCTCCCCCAGCGGAACCAGCTTGAGTGCTGCCATTATTATTGGCGTTGCTGCTGATTGCCGTGGCGGAAGCAGCAGCGGCTATGGGTGACACAACTGGGGAACTGTTGATATTAATACCTGAAAGCCCAGTGTTTGCATGCGACGGGGTGCTTGATGGGCGATTAGATATGGAGGAGAGTTGTGGCCTGAGTGTTCTCGGAGTTACTGACGAGGCCGCTGACAAACCCGACTGCGAGTCGCCATCCAGTTTCCCCGTGCTTGTGTTGCGTGGCAGCAATGCATGTGAAACATTTGTCGTGGGCGACAGCATCGTCGTCCCAACCGCAGTGGTTGCGTGAGGATTTCCACTCGTCCCTCCGCCTGTGTTAATTGTGATTGCACGTTGAACTTCGTCAAACTGCACTTGCCACCGTGAGCGCATCGCCTCTCCAAATATCAGTTGATGCATTTCCGCCACCACACGGTATTCGTCTAAAAAACGAGCGATACGGGCACATCCGCCAGAGAAGTCCTCTCGGATATTCAGCTGCGACCCATCACACCATAAAGACAATGCCTGGCAGGCGGTGGTGCACTCTTCATACGATAACGGAGTCCAGAAACGCCCTCTCAGTCGGTGCTCAAAGCCAAACACAAAAGTCCCGTACTGGACCCCAAGTGTTCCATGCAGGGCAAAACACTGCTGAAGAGCGGTGAGCACAGGTGTGGTGTATGGAATCAGCATCCCATCACGACCACGATAGGCGGAGACAAGAAAATTGCATACCCTTTTGAGATTTTCCCACTGACGCTTTAAAGATCCTTCACTGATGCCTGCCTCTATAAGCTTTTGTATATTTTGACTACGAATGGCACGTGCTCCAAATAAAAACCAGCTTTCGGACTCTTCCTCAAGCTCCAGTTTGTGCATGCGATCACCAAAAAACATTTTGAGCACCTTTTCGTCGACGCCGTAGAACACCTCCACCATGCGCCGACGGTCCTTCAATGTCATCGGAATCGAGTACCTTGAGAGAAAGGCATAGGGGGTTGCCAAGTAGTTTTCACGGAACATGTCAAAAAGAACAAATTGTTCCACCAACTCCTGACGCAAAATGGAGCGTTCGCCTCTCACCATGTCCGAGAGGGCCTGCTGAAATTCTCGATGAAATGTAGAACTCGAAGGGTCAATAAAAGCGCTTAGACTACGTGAATCCACCGCAAGCTCATTCCCATGGTTTCCGGCCCCTGTTTCATTGGCGTTCTTCTCTCCCTCTTCGTCGCCGTGCTTAGCACTCGCTGTATCAGCCGTCATTTCCATCTGAGGGAGTGAGAACCTACCGGTATCGGGGAGGCTGAGAGGCTGCGGCGCCTCCACCTGGAGGTTTCGCCAACATTCCACACCTACAGGCACCGGGCAATCCAAAAATATATTCCCGGGCTGCTTCTGAGATTCCTTTTCGTCGTCACCCGTGGGCCATGTCACATCCGCATTTAATATATACTGTAGTGCCTCCTCCACTGAAAGTCCAGCGACGTACGCCTCCAAGGCGTCGAAATTAATGCTCACAGGCGACACAGAGTGGGCGTGAATTGAAAGACGCAACGACATTAGGATAACACCACTTCTACCTGGACCACTAAAGATAGAGACAATAAAAATATGTTTGTGTGCATGTGTAAAAAGGGGAAAAAAAAAAATAAAAAATTGTGTCCGTTTTTCAGCTTACACGACATTGATACATGCACACATATAAATGACAAATGAAAAACGGAATGAGACAACAAGCAAAAATCTAACAACAACAACAAAATACTAAAGACCGAGTCTTGAGAGGGTGTCGGCGAATGAATTAGAAGAAGGATTTCCTCTCGAGCAGTTGCCGCTTTTTTTGAAAGTGTGACGACGACCTTTTGTTGGTGGTCCTCGCGGAAGCGTGGGAAATTGCGCATTGACTTCACTTTCATCTGTCGAGATCTCAGGTCTTCCCGCACACGAGACAACTTTCGAGATCGAAGGAGACCCTTCCGTTCGAGCCTCCCTCCGCACCGGTGCCACAGCGCTGACGTCTCGTTCTGTGCTACGAATATTCATTGCGAGACGATCCTTCTTGCGAGGGGCCGGCTCCTTCGAGGCAGCCGAACGGCTTCTCTTCCCGCGTGCCAAGGAGCCTTTAGGAACCGCACGAAGAGTCGCCTTTGGAATGGTGGATGTGTTCCTCATCGCCATGGCAGGAGTCCTCACCACGCCTCCACGTTTATTGCGCTTCCGCCTGCGTGTGCGGCCCACAATGGTGGCAAGTCGTGCCTCCACAGAACCGCCAAAAGTGGTGTCTGAAGCATGCAGCGGTGTCTTCGATGGCGACTTTTCGTCCGTTATCTCTGATAGTTGACCACAGGAAGGTGATGATTTTGGTGGTGGTGTGGACGCGCAGCCTTTCTTCCCCCGTGACAGCCATTCATTGTTCATGCAGCGGCGGCACACATATGTTCCTCTGGTCGCCGTGTGCTTTTCATTGAGCTCATTCATGTCGGAGGAATTCACATCATCGACGTCGCCAGGAATTTGGAATGAACTCGTTCTCGACGTTGAAAGAAGCGCCTTGGTCTCTCCTGCTAAAAGGTACACCCCGCAGCGGCGGCACCACATACGATGAGCTGCACTTAACGACCACAACTGTCGTCTTCCATCGTGTTGACCGTTCGACAACCGCCTCCGACGGCTGGTGTAGCACGGCCCCAATGGATGGCTTGCCGCTCTGCGGAGCGTGTGCGACCCGTAATGCGCCGAGAGATCGTAAAGAAGGGCTGTCACGGGTGAATTCACATCTGTCACCATTTTGGAAGCGTTGGAGTCAAGCGGCGAGAGACCACTCGGAGTATTTTGCAGCAATTCCAACATCGCTGCAGAGAGTGAGGCGCAAAACTCTGTGCCAATCAACTGACTCTGCAGAGCAAAGGAAGGAGGGATGCTGCGCGGCAAGAGACGCGTGTGACGCAACGCCGTCAACGTCGAAGGGGATAACAGGGAGCCTGACCCCTCATTGCAACCAACACCCTTTTCTTGCATCTACCGGTAGCCCCACCGCGAAAAAAAAAAAAAAAAAAAAAAAGACCTCTCGTTGATTAAACTAGAAAATAAAGAAAACATCTGGTACATGAAAATACATAATGATTTTTATTTGTTTCTGCATGCGGTCACTGCTGTTGAAGCCGTTTACCCGCCACGCTCCATTTCCTTCACCTCAGACAACTGAAAGAGAAACCACAGGCAAGAACGCACACACACACACACACACACACACACACACAGAGAGAGAGAGAGAGAGAGCTGGATCGAGACACTCACACATACGGCCAGACGCCTAAACACATATAAAGAAGGTTAAATAGGAGTAATTGTTGGCCTCACTGACAAAATTTTTCACCCGCCGCGTTATTCCAGCAATCAAAGCGGCGATAAGGCCATTGTTTTACTATTTTTCTTCAACTCTTCCTGCACCTCCGCCATTCGAAGAATGGAGTTCCGGAGAGAAATCAGCAATCGGCGGTGATATTCCTGCAACAACTCCTCGGGGTCAATGTACCACCCAAAACGGGCGTGTATGACATCCCCCCATTTCAAAATCCATTGATTATTTGACTTCAACAAAGCGACATCAACCACCTTTCCTCCACGCACTGCAGGCATTTTCTCCAGTTCGACATGACTAGCTCTTTTTGACTTCTTATTTTTCTTTACATCTGTCATGAGACC